AAATAAAACAAACTTTTTAATATATTATTTTTTTTTAATACAATACATAAAATACTGAATGTAATTAATATGTTTAATTTATACCCATTCTTAATTTACATAAAACAAATTCTATTTTTGATTGTATTAAGAATAATTTGTTAAAATTTTTTTTTATTTGTTATAGGTAATACAAAAATGGCCTTTGTTTAAATAAGAACAATATAAATAACATAAATGCTATGATAACATAAAACTAATTGAAAGAAGTTATTACATTTAATAACAAGTAGTTTCAGCTACTAGTTTCAGATTTATTTTGAAAATGGGTTCTGTACTTGCAATAAGTAATTTTTTTTGTGATGCGACAAGGACATTAATAAGGAAACTTAAGACCATCTTTCAACATCTTTGCAAATGCCGCTATTTAAAATGTCTTTATTATTATGTAAGTTCAAATATGATGATGATTTATCTCAATAACCTTCTGCATTTATATCTTTAGAGTGATAAGAATATTTTAATTCATTCATTGTCATTGATAATGTATTTTTGTAATGTTTTCATAACATTCAGTTAATATAAATATAACAATCTAATTAAAGAAGGTACTTACATTTAAAATACTACAAATGTGCATACATATAAAATTATAATGTTAATTATATCAAAACTGATTTACATTCCAGGCTAATATTTCAATGTTAGAATACTGTTGAATTATTGCAAATAATATCTCTGTTAAATTTGTTAGAAATGTAGTAGTAGATACATAGAAAATAGTAATATAAATACACAATTGATGTTATATGGTACAAAGTCTGCTCCATGTTTATATTATTACAAAGAGGTAATCCAAGCATGTAGAATGAGAATATCTCTGGGCTTTATGCATGTTCATGCAGCATAACTTTGTAATCTAATATCATGCTTTTTGCACACTGGCTAGCTGCATTGTGTTGATAACTTATATTAAGGGATTGTGGGCTAAGTATTTATCCATTTACCACGTTTCACGTGTAAGTACTGGTCTCCTGAGAGAATTTACTTCCTTCAATTATTATATACACACTTAGTTAGTAAACTCTTTATTAATTTAAAAGTTATTTTTTATTTAACAATTTTATTGTTTCTGTATATTTATAAATATTTATCAGAAACGCATTTTTAATTGTTTAATATGTATAATTTATTTCTTGTGATTTCTGAGTTTAAAAACTAGAATAAGTGTTTATAAGAAATTTAAAATAATGTGTGTTAACATGTGTAAAGTAATAGAAATTGTGAATGTTAAAATAATAAGGAAATTCCATAACATTTGGTGATAATATATTATAAAATGGGTATTTGTGTTTCTAGGCAGTGGTTGAAAACATGTCAGAACATATGTCCTCAAGTGAAAGCCACGAGTTTGAACAAATAAGAGTCCTAACTCTAAACAGAGGGGAACATCTCGACGGTATATTATACAGATTAAAAAAAGGTATGTGAGTCTTACTTTATAACTTCGATATAAACAAATTTAAGCAATCTTTAACATTATAATCATTCTCCACAGGATGGAGAGTAGAATTTCGCTTAGGTGCTTCTCTTCTTGGGAAAGTACTTGATCTGTTTATAAATTATCCTTTAGGAGGAAATCAAAAATTTGAAAGACACACATATTATCCATTAGAATGGAATAATGAAACAGCTAATATATGCCTATCTTTGGCTGGTTCATTCCATTACTATCTCACAGATCCTAAGTAAGTATTAAATATGAAAAATCAGTCTACAATTGTATATATGTATATTGAATATACAGGGTGAGTCTCCTAACATGACGACCTCAAATAACTCGTAAGGTATTCGTTGTACGAAAAAATGTTTCAAACAAAAGTTGCATGGTATCTAGGGGGACATACAGTGCTCTAATCTGTTTTTTATTACCTTGCTTTTTTATTGAGATATTAGGGTCACCTTCAGTTTTTTAAATGGAATGTCTAATATTTTTTTTCGAATTCGGATAAACCCTCAAATTTTGCGTAAAAAAGTATTACACAAAGTGGGACTTCAAATGAATAATTACTGAGATATTTATAAAACAAGTAAACAAAGTCGTGCTAAGAATCACGTTGGCTGAGCGTATTTCCTAATAGAAGATTATTAATTTGAAGATATCTCAGTAATTATTCGTTTTAAGTCCCACTTTGTAATAATACTTTTTTACGCAAAATTTGACGATTTATCCGAAATCGAAAAAAAATATTAGACATTCCATTTAAAAAACTGAAGGTGACCCTAATATCTCAATAAAAAAGCAAGGTAATAAAAAACAGATTAGAGCACTGTATGTCCCCCTAGATACCATGCAACTTTTGTTTGAAACATTTTTTCGTACAACGAATACCTTATGAGTTATTTGAGGTCGTCATGTTAGGAGACTCACCCTGTACATACATATATTAAATTTTTTAGTTCTGAAAGTTTAAAACCTATTGCCTCTGGATATCTATTGGTGGATCCAGAACTTAAAGTAGGAGAACATGAAAATGATCTACCATTAGATTGTATTCAGTGTCAAACTGTTCTGGCAAAATGTTTAGGACCTTTTTCTACTTGGGAAGATAAGCTACTAGTAGCTAAAAATTCTGGATATAATGTGATTCACTTTACACCCATTCAGGTTATATATTCAATTTATTGGACAATAATGTTTTCAATAATTTGATATATATAAATGTTTATTACAATAATTATATGATTCATGTTTTAGGAATTGGGATATTCTAAGTCATCTTATAGTCTTAGTGATCAATTGAAATTGAATCCTTCCTTTGATAATGATAATAAACCAATTACATATGATGATGTTGAAGGACTGATTAATAAAATTCGTAATGAATGGAATGTAAGTAATATAATTTTATGTAATTTACAATTTAATTTGTTAAAGTACTAGTTTTCTTATAAATATTGGATATTTCAGATGTTGAGCATGTGTGATATTGTTTTAAATCATACAGCAAATGAAAGTCCTTTTTTAGTATCCCATCCAGAATGTACATATAATTGTTTAAATAGTCCTCATTTACGTCCTGCATATATTTTGGATGCTGCACTATTCGAATTGACAGTCCAAGTAGCAGCTGGAGAATGGGAATTTAAAGGTATTCCCTTGATAGTTGAAACCGAAGAACATTTAAATGTAAGAGAAAATATCCATTCACTAGTATTTAATAATAATTGTGATTTATTATGTGTGCTTATTAATTGTTCAATTTCAGTCAATTCGCCATGCACTGCATACATATTTTCTGCCGCTTGTGAAAATACACGAATTATACATTATAGACATCAATGAAACCATTGCTGAATTCTTGAATTTAGCACGAAATCAAATGCCTCAAGACTCTATTGAACCAATATTGGAAGATATTAAAATAATACAAGATTCGAAATTCCGTAGATTAAAAGCAACTATAAATATGCAACTTGCTTTACAAAAATATAATGTATATAGGTAAGTTACACAACAACTGAAGTGTAAAATAATTTTCATATTACTTTAGAAAGAATTTTACTTACTTTATATTTTCTGTTACTTTCTTATTACAGAGCTGATTGTTTTGATGAAGAAACTCGTTTGAAACGTTGTGCCGAAGATTTAAGAAAGAAATTACAAGAACTAAATAACGTAATCATTAACGAAGTTCAAAATCATTTAAATGCTGCAGTTGAGAATACAATTGCTGGTATAAGATATTTTAGAGTACAATCTGATGGACCAAAATTGAAAGAAATAAGCGAAAGAAATCCACTTGTTCCAAGGTACACAGCTCTTGTGTAAATGCATTATTTTAGTTGTATTATTCATATAGAAATTATTTTCAAATATATTATACTATTATCGTAATATAAGAAAAATTATTTTCAGGTATTTTACCGATTATGGAGCGCCTCAAACATTGGCTGAAAGAGAAGCAACAATGTACTCAGATGCAGGATGTTATCTTATGGCTCATAATGGATGGGTGATGAATGGTGATCCTTTAAAAAATTTTGCAGATCCTGATTCTAATGTTTACATAAGACGAGAACTAATTGCTTGGGGTGATAGTGTCAAATTAAGGTAATACAACTGTCTGTAAAATGTTAGCATCATCTTATAAAATAATTAGAAGTTATCATATACCATATTTGTTACAGATATGGTGATAAGCCAGAAGATTGTCCCTTTCTATGGCAGCATATGACTACCTATGTTGAACAAACAGCTAAAATTTTTGACGGTATTCGTCTAGACAATTGTCATTCAACACCTATTCCAGTAGCAGAGGTATATTTATTTGTTAAATTGATCTCATGTGTAAATTCAAATTTTTATTCTCGCATTCTCAAATTTTTCAGTATATGCTTGATGTTGCCCGTCAAGTCCGTCCAGATTTATACGTTGTTGCTGAATTATTTACAAACTCTGATCAAAAAGATAATATATTTGTTAATCGACTTGGTATCACTTCTTTAATTCGAGGTATTATAGGTTTACCTTAAGTTATTAAACTTTACGAAATATGTAAATCATTATTAAATGTTATTAATTCCTTATTTTTTTAAATAGAAGCTATGTCTGCATGGGATAGTCATGAAGAAGGTCGACTAGTATACCGATACGGAGGCGAACCAGTCGGTGCATTCTTGCAACCACGTAAACGGCCTTTAGTACCAAGCATAGCACATGCTCTTTTCTTAGACTTAACTCATGATAATCCCAGTCCTGTGGAAAAACGTAGCGTATTTGATTTACTTCCAAGTGCAGCTCTTGTATCAATGGCAGCGTGTGCTAGTGGCAGCAATCGTGGATATGATGAACTAGTTCCTCATCATGTAAATTTGGTTTTATTAAAAATATTTCAATTATAGTAAATATTTAGCTTGGACAGATGATGAATGTTTGGTAGATGGTGTCAAACTTGTAGGTTTTAAAACTGGCATAATTGCGGCAAAGAAAGCATTAAATGATTTACATTATACCCTTGGACAACAAAAGTTTTCCCAAGTATAGTATCATAATACATATTATATAAAGCATAGTTATTTTCCTTTTATAAATTTCTTAAATACCATTTGTTGAAATTACAGGTATTTGTCGACCAAATAGACAGTGATATAGTAGCTGTAACAAGGCACTCTCCGATAACTCACGATAGTGTAATTTTAGTTGCTTTTACGGCTTTCAAACATCCTGATCCCAATGCTAATGATTTGAAAAGACACGTGAAACCATTACGAATAGAAGGTGTGATGGAAGAAATTATTTTAGAAGCATCCTTATCTCATGTAGGAGTAAAGTAAGGAACTAAATTAATAATTTAATTTCTTTATACGTTGTTATTATTATGTACTTGGTATTTTATTGAATTATTGATTTTAGAAATGGTACATCGCCATTCCATTATCCCGAAAAATATGAACAAGAAGAAAATTATATAAATGGTCTATCAGAATATATTATAAATCTTCAAGAACATATACAAATTTGTGACTCAGACATATTGGAGAAAGTTGATTCTGGTGATCCTAAAATAACTCAGCTTAATTTTGTAAATTTTCAACCAGGTTCTGTTGTTGCTATTCGGTACTATTCATTTACATTCTTTATGCAAAATATGTTCATAAATGTATATCAGTGATGTGAATATCGATGTATTTAATTTCAGAGTATCTCTTCATGCTAACATAAAACCTGCTCTTGCAAAACTTCATAATACTATTTCAGTAATCACATCACAGAAAAGTTCAGATATACGTGTTATTGCTTCCCGTATGGATTTAGTAGATTTAAATAAGGCCTTATATCGATGCGATCAGGAAGAACGTGATGAAACTTCCAATAGATTTGGAGTGTACGATATTCCTGGTTACGGACCTCTGGTCTATGCAGGATTGCAAGGTGAAGTAAATACATTTCACATGCATTTCTTATATTAATTTATATAATACTTTGTATATACTTTTATTTTTAGGCATCATTTCTTTGTTAGCGGATATTCGCCCCAATAATGATCTTGGTCATCCAATGTGTACTAATCTCAGGCAGGGTAATTGGCTAATAGGTAAGTACTAATGTGAATACTAAATCTAATCCATTGTTTGTTGATAAATAACACATAATTAATGAAATATAATAATTTAAAAAAATGTATAGATTATACCTGGCAAAGACTAAAAGAAGATGATGGAACTAGAGCACTTGGAGAATGGCTTGAAGAAGCTATTGAACCATTTAAATTAATACCTCGCTATTTAGTGCCTAGCTATTTCGACGTTATAGTTGTAAACGTTTATATGATTCTACTTGAGCAATGTTATAGTTTAATGTCAAGGTAGTTTACATTATATATGTATCTATGCTTTCTATATCTTCATTAAATTTTTATGTTTAATAATTCATTATGATTTATCAGCTTCGTAAACGATGGTTCCACTTTCATCAAGATTCTATCTCTGATTTCAATACAAATGGGAGGAACGGTGAGATCAGCACCATTACCAGATTTGTCTCCAAATATAGACGTTCCTAAACCAAAAATCAAACAATACAATGGTGAAAGTGAACAAATATGTATGACACTGTCTGCTGGTTTACCACATTTTACAACAGGTTATATGAGGAACTGGGGAAGAGACACGTTCATTGCTTTAAGAGGACTACTTGTACTAACAGGAAGATACACCGAAGCACGATTTATTATTCTTGCTTATGCTGGAACTTTACGACATGGCCTTATACCAAATTTACTTGATAAAGGAAAAAATGCTAGGTGAAAAATAAATTCTTATATATTTTAATTGCTAATTATTATTGTATTGATTACATTTTATGTTTTTCAGATACAATTGTCGAGATGCTTCGTGGTGGTGGTTGTATACAATTCAATGTTATATACAAGAAGTACCCAATGGTTTAAAAATTTTAACAGACAAAGTTTCAAGATTGTTTCCAACCGATGATTCTCCACCATTACCCGCAGGACAAGTGGTATATACGAGGCGTTTGTTCGAAATAAGTTACACAAATCAACATATGTATCATATATATTATGTTTTATAAAAATATTTCAGGAACAACCACTCCACGATGTTATTCAAGAAGCTCTCCTAGTACATTTTCAAGGACTTTGCTTTAGAGAAAGAAATGCTGGAAGACAAATTGATGAACATATGACTGATCGTGGTTTTAACAATCAAATTGGAGTACATCCAGAGACAGGATTTATATTTGGTGGAAATGATGCAAATTGTGGCACATGGATGGACAAAATGGGATCCTCTGAAAAGGCTGGTAATAAAGGAAAACCTGCTACTCCAAGGGATGGTTCAGCTGTAGAAATAGTAGGACTCAGCAAGAGTATCCTTAGCTTTTTGGCTGAGTTGTACAAGCAAAATCTTTTCCCTTATGGTAGCGTGCAAAGAAAAAACCGTGATGGTAAGATAATTTTCAGAGTTTTTTTTATTTATTTTCATTTCTTTTTCTCTGCATTTAACATTTATTGTAGGATCTGTTGTAACATGGAGTTATAAACAATGGGCAGATAAGATTTCATTAAATTTTGAGAAATACTTTTACATCGACGAAACACCATCAGAGGAAGAATTAAAGCCAGAACTTATTCACCGTCGTGGAATTTTTAAAGATAGTCATGGAGCAACGCAAGCATGGGCTGATTATCAACTGCGACCTAATTTTCCAATTGCAATGGTTGTTGTGAGTATTCTATTGTTATACTTTATTTTTCGAACGTAGTATATCCATTTAGAACAACGTGATATTGAAATATAATTATTTCGGAAGGCACCAGAATTGTTTAATCCTGAACATGCATGGATGGCATTAAAGAAAGCAGAAGACATTTTACTAGGACCACTTGGAATGAAAACATTAGATCCTGCTGATTGGGCATACAATGGATATTATGATAATTCTAATGACAGTGGAGATACTAAGTTAGCTCATGGTTGGAATTATCATCAAGGACCTGTAAGTAATAGTTTTTAATATGTTCATTTAGTATAAAATGTGCCTAAAAGGAAAGTAATGTTACTTTATAATATTTCATAGGAATGGGTTTGGCCCATGGGATATTTCCTTCGAGCTCGTTTGTATTTTGCTCCCTTGGTTGGAGGAAAAGAAGAATTACACCGCACGATCGAATCAACCGAAGTCATTATTTCTCGACATTTCATAGAAGCATCGACGAATCATTGGAGAGGTCTTCCTGAACTTACTAATAAAGGTGGAGAATATTGCAAAGATAGTTGTAGAACACAAGCTTGGAGCGCTTCTTCTATACTAGAGGTTTGTATCCATGTTATTAGTATCGGCTAAACAACAGTTCAATTGTATAATTAAACATTACTATACTATATCTTTGTCTTTAGGTTCTTTACGACTTACATAAAATCAAACGGGAGTTACGTTCTGAGGAGACTGAAAGAACAAATTGATACAATTTTGCGTGTGTTCACCACCGCCAATTACACTTAGAACATTTGCGATTAGAAAAAGAACGTAGTATTAGAGATAAAGATCACGATGACAAATGGCACATATTTAACACAGCTATAGAAACACCAAGCACGGAGACACACGCATTTGGTATTCCGCACATAGATAAAACCAGTATGCCACCGTGCAAATTTATAAATGCTGACATGATATCAACCAGTGATGCTTTCTTCTCAATTCAAGAACTTAAAGAAAACAGAAATGAGAAAGATATTAAACATGATTATGCATCTCCTACTATTATTAGCAATTTAGAAACAATTGAAACTATATCAGATACTACGGAATTGTCCATGATATCCGACAGTGAACTTCATAAATCAAAACAACTTACATATAAAACGGAATCTTTAAAATATTTGTGTAAACCTTTTAATAAATTTAAGAGTGACATGGCTGATGGAACTAGTACGAAACAGAATACGGAAGAAAGTAATGAAATTATAAAATACTCGTCAAAAGTAGATCATGTTTATGAAGAGGTCAATGCTCTTGAATGTGATATTATGGATTACTATGAAAAGTATAGCCCTACAACGGCAAAGACTTTGATAAATACACTTTATCTTCCTCGACATAAAATTTGTAAGCAATGTGCCAATTTACAAGGCAGTCCAGTATATTCTGATCATTTAATATATGCAAAAAAACCACTACGTGCGAGAGAAGTTCATTTGTTTCAACAAAACGATATTTTATGCTTTAGATATTGCTCAGACGATGGTAAACGTGACAATACACTATTTTTGCAATACGACAATGTTCAGCATTGCTTATTAGTTCATAATTACTTAAAAACTAATGCATCTAGTATATTCTATTCATACGGTTCACCGCGTGATATATTTGATTTAAAAGAAACACTGAAGCCAAATGTTCTTCTCACAAGTAGTGATACAAAGAAAGTAGGAAATACAGAGTTATATCATCGTTATGCAAGTAACTTTTATACAAGAATATCAAATAGTGGTATTTTACCTACAGCGTTTCGCATGAATCACAATAACATTTTGAGCTCCATAAAACACATTGGTTATGATACTGATCTACAAAACTGGATGAATTACCGTAATGATTTTCGTTCACATAGTCTCAAACAAGATGATGTGATCGAACATCGCGCGAATAGGTCCAGCTTGTTATTGTTGGAACCTCTACTGTTAATGCCAGAATTAGGAAATTCTAGATATAGGCACGGAAAAAATCGTATTTCACAATCAGAACACGTAAAAATAGTAAAAATAGTGATTGCCTATACTCTTTCTTTCTTTATTTTAGCAACAATCACATTTTATATAGTTTATTTCACTTAATATATACAGTCATTATGAACATGAGTTAGAAAAAAGATAAAAAAAATTTTTAAACATATTATATTCTGTGTTTATTGTTACTTACCTCGGAAACTGATAGTCAAAACAGACTTGAAAGATATTTAATTCTTTTCATATGAAATTTTTAAGAAGTTTTCACATGAAATTTTCAAGTAACAAATTTGTCATAAAGTCTGTTCATATTTTTTTTCATTAATTGTTCTGTTACTTATCATAAATGTTCTAATAATTTATTAAACTTTGTTAATGTGTCCTCAAATTTATTAACATTTTTTCTCGTTTTTATATAATTATATAGAGTATATTTACATTGAGTTAGAATATTATAATTGTGCGATTTTATTAAAGGCATTTAAAATATATTTTTTTAGCACTCTTTGCATACCTTCAATGGAAGATTACAAAGAAATGCAATTAAACAAACGCTAAAATAAGGTTATTGAGATCTGTTATTTCTTATTAATACATTAAATATTTATTAGCAGATACCATTATTATTGCACGTATATGTTAGACACACAATATTTTCCTCATTGTTTCCATACCTGTATGAAATATTTGCAATAAAATTGATATACATATTTCATTTTGCATAATAATTTGAGAAAACGTTATTTCTTTTTTTTTAACTCTATCTCCCTTTGTCCACTTTACAATAGAAAATAAATTCTATTTAACAATATACATGTAACTGATAATAATAAAGAAACTTTAAATTAACGTTTATATATGTATAACGTTTGCTGAATCTTCATTAAAAGTTCCCTTTTAAAAAAAACTCTCGTTATTATATAGCATACATAGAATCACACAATATAATTCTCCTTTCAATGTCATAATGTATTTGAATATTATAATAATAATTCTAAGTACTAGCTTATGTATAAGTCTACATAATAATAATATTAGTAAATTACTTACATCTTAATCATGTGCAATACAAGAGCACACATGAATATTTAAAATTATTCTCTTTTTACTTTGGTTTTATTGTAATTTAAACCTGTCTGCCTATGCCTGTTATTCTTATGAACAATAGTAATAAGAAATATGACAAATATATGTAACTGAAATTATGGTACTTGGAATACAACATCGAAAGAAATAGCGGTAAAAATTTTCAAATCTATTTAAAGTTTACTTAATTTTTCAAACTTGTATACTCTACCTGTATTATTTCTATTTTTTCCTCTACATTATTATTTATTTGCTTACATTGTTACAAAATATATCAAATACTGTATGAAATTTAACACTTTACATTACGTTAATAGAATTACAATATTTTTATTATTGTATTAATGTTTTATCAATCCTAAAAATTTGTTAAAAAGATAAATGTATAAATTTTAATGAAATAAATTAATTTCTAAAGTTAAAAAAATTAGTACATATACATATATACGCTGTACTTGTCTAATTGTTTGAAATTCAACAATGTGCAATAAAAGTGTGTAAAACAAAACTTTTAACCACATCTTTTAATTTATACTTTAACTGACACTGTGACAATTGAAACAGTTTTTTTACTTTATTTTTTTACGTCATTACGATTGTTGTCTATATAAGGTAGTATTTTATTATATTCACAACTCGAATTTTAGTACTTTAAAAATTCTGTTTATATAGTGTAAATATTTTAAGTATGAATATTTTTTAATACAAATGAATCTGTTACTAAGCAAAACCTAAACTCTAAGCTTGATTTAAATATCATCGAATAATCCTCTTGGTGGAGGTCCTACGCGATTTGTATTCGCAGTACATGCTTTTGCATTGTCCATACGCTCTTCATAAAAATCATCTGTTTGATAGTCTCCATCATAACTATTATTTGCACCGTAACTATTAACTCCGGATACCATTCCAATATAATATTCCGTGGGATCAAAATCTCGCAATAGTCCAGCTCTTGCAGATTCTACAGACTCGTCTCGTTTTAAAGGGCGTACTATAATATAATTAAATAAAAAATGATATACTTTTACGATAAATCTTACTTTTATCAAATAAATTATATAAAAATACCTGTATCTGTGCTTTGCCGAGATGCTCTATAACGAGATGAACTTGTGGAACTGCTAAATCTTTCTTGAAACTCACGTCTTCTACACATTGAATCTTCTGCTCTTTGTCGTTTGCGTCTTTCTAAAAATGATTATAATATTTATGTAAACTCTGTAACATTTAATTACAGCGCAACGTTGGATTAAAGTCTTACCTCGCTTTATTAACTCTTGACCTTCTTCAACAAGATCTGTTGTAAACTCGTCATCATCCAGAAATTGTTGGAAACCTAACATAGAAAGCAATCTACTTCCTAGACTAAAATACGTTGCTAAACAAAATGCTAAAATAGCCATTGGAAAATACACATTAAATCCATCAGATGTAATGGAAATAACATCCATATGCCCCATTACCTGAATAAATGAATTATAAAATAAATTAAATTTGCCATCAGAACGTGGCAATTGTTCATTATATATGTATTTACCTGAGTGTAATGAGTTTCCAAAATGTGAGTTTTTATAATATGTGAATCCATGTGTATAAGACCCAGGAAATTTAAACACATAGGTGGTGTAAGACGACACAACATCATGCCACTGAATATTAAACTATATTCATTAGTTTGATGATGTGGTGCTAAATAATATAAATTTAGTACACGAATTTTCAAAACGGTTGAATAGGCACAGTAACAAAGGTATGCAATTATCAGCATTGAGAGTAACTAGAAAAGATACTTCAATTATCAAAATAAAAATTTGATTTGCTAATTCAAAATCTAAGTATAAACTCTTACCTCAATTGTAAAATAATCATAACTTTCTCTTGCTAGATTCAAAAATTGTGCAAATAATGATAAGACAGGAGATTTATTGAAAAATGTTACTTCTGACCATACCACAGCTATTGAAAGACAACCAGCACAAATAGCTGCAATCTTTTGTACATAACTTTTTATAACACATTTCCAGTACCACTCTACAAATTTTAGATCACTTACAAAACTTAAATAAAGAAATACATTTATATCCATTAAAACTTAAACTTACCAATAACT